TTCAAATTAAGATTATGAAATACAAAAACTACACCATTCTTCTAAATCATGTCCCAGGAATATATTAGCAAATGAAACTTTCTTCAGAGGAAAATGTAGTTTCTTGTAGATCTCTAAAATTGAGCTGCTGAAAGTGAACAATTTGAAAATAGTCTTTACTTTAATTTGTTTAAAAAAAGTGTGCAATGGAGAACAGATAATGAAAACTAAAACTGATAAAAACATAACAGAAAATTATGCATTTAGAAAGAGGGTTTCAGAAATAATGGACATTCATAATAAGAATACTAAAAATAAGTTTCCTTTGTCTTCTTGCCTAGTTAGTAGCATTAACTAGAAGCACCATATACATGGCATATCCTTGGACACTGGCAAGCTTTACTTCAGGAAGGAACTTTGGTGCAGGTAGGCAGCCAGCTTTCACCTTTCAAGCCTCACACCCTAATAAAGTGGACTTAGTTTCAAGTACCAATACATGCAACAAATTACTTCCTCACACATGGTTCACTTCCTTCCTTCTGAGATCAGACTGGTAAGAGAGTCAATTTTCCTACTTTCACATACAAACCTTTAATTTATTCTTCTGTTTCTAGCCACAGCTTCTCTTTGCTCTTTTTTTTTTTTTTTTTTTTTTTTTTTTTTCCCTTTGGCTTGCTTTCTCTTTCTTTCCTAGACTTTTCTGTTTGTTTGTTTGTTTTTGGTGGAACTGGGGATTGAACTCAGGCTCTTGCACTTACCAGGGAAGTGCTTATTCCACTGAGCCATCTCCCTGGCCCCTCCTAGACTTTTCTAAGACCTACCTTTCTCAGGGAAAATATTTCTTGCTTAATAATTATACCTTACTTATGCCATTAGTTTTTGGCAATATATATGCTTGTGAACAACTATTTTAAAGGACAAAGAATACAAAGAGTAAAACATTAAAAATTTCTGATGAGCACCTTGAGAAGTTGAGAATTTCAACAACTTTCATTGTTAAATGAAATACATTAGTTTTCTAATAGAGAAAAGGTCAAATATTCTACTAGTTTTATGCCTCTTGTAAAAATGTTATGTTACCTTCTTGTAAAAATGTTATAATACAAATATTGCTAAAAGGAATTTCTACTTACATTAATTAATTACATTATATATTTTATATGCAGTTCAAGACAATTCCTTTTGGTCTAGACAGCCAGAAGTTGGACAGTTGTGATCTAACCATTTACAAATTAAAGAATGTTCTTAAGTTAGAAAGGAAATGAAAAGAACAGATTAGAGATTATTTAGAAATGATTCAGAACAGCAGTACTCCAACTGACCTATAAACACAATGCGCAAATGGAAATGGATAGTCTCAATTACACTTATTAGCAAATACAGAAGAAAACAAGGCCTGAACAGTTCACCCATGAAGAAAGAGAAAGGGCCAGGTGCCCTCTAGCTTTGCCTGGAGCCTGACAACGAGGCAGGTTGGATGCTACACAGCAATGCACAGCAGAAATAGGCGCTTCCTGGGACCTCACACTGCTGCACATTGGAGGAAAGCAGCCTTTTCTACTAAAGATACAAACATTTAAATACTTTGCCCTTGCCTTTTCATTTCTGGGAATTTTTAAAAAAAAATATTCTCACAAGTGTGGAGAAAGATTGTTAAAAAATGTTCACTATGATGTTTTTCTGAAATAGTGAAAAGCCAAAAATCCCATAGGCTCATCAAAAGGAAAATGCTGAAATATGTATTATGTAGTCATTTTAAAAGTGGGTGCCATCTAGCAAGTGGGAGATCCTGGGTTAAGTCCTTAGTACCCAAAAACAAAGCAAAAATAACAAACTTCAAGTCCTCCAAACATAGTGTCATCTGAGAAAACACTTCTATAAAAAGGAAAATCATATACACAGGATAGGCACCAAACTCTCAGATGTTTGTCTTTGAAAACAACATTTAGGCCACTTTCACAATAAATCTTCTGTATTGTCTGAACTTCTGTGTAATTCTGTTTCATATTTGTCATAAAGGAATCATGACATTTTAAGATATTAAATCAAATATACATGTTGGAGAGTGAAATAGAAGAAAATCATTTGTAACTAAGTTCCTATCAGAAAACACATGAAACTAACGTATTTTAGACAAAACCAAAGACATGGTTTTAAGCCATGTACCATACCTGGTTTTAAGCTTCTGTCATCAAGAACTTTCTTAATTACACACATATGACTTCAATGAAAAACTAAACTCCACTGAATCCTAAAGGACTGGTATTGTGTTGAAATCCTTCTAACCCATTTGTACTCCCAGGAACATAGCACAGTCTGAGAGTGAGAGTCAATGTATTGCCAAGAGAGGAAGTTAGTAAAGTCTGAGAAAGCTAATCCCAATTGCATGTTGATTATTTACAAGTCTCACATTAAGCAGTTAATCCAGCAAAATAAATGAAAAATTTAGATACCACTGTGACTACAAATTAAATCTCAAATTAAAAGGAAATATTATTATTTATTTATTATTATTATTTTTTGTGGTACCAGGGATTGAACACAGGACCCTGCTCTTGTCAGACAGGAACTTATTCTACTGAGCTATCTCCCTGGCACAGGAAATATTACTGTAATCTTCAAATTCTATAGATTTCAACTTACATGTTTTGTGAGTAAAACCGTACGACAAGGAACTTTACAAATCATGCATTCATCCTTTTTGCCTATAAATTAAAAAGAGATATGTATAAATGTAGTACTTAAATTATATTTCTTCAAAAAAATGCAAAATAATGGTAATATGCAATCATGTGTCCAATCCTACATAACTATATCTGTTAATTTGAGCAAGAGATTTGATGATAAAAATAGATAATATATCAACTGTTGTTAATCAGCTATTCTGTTTTAAAATCTGTAACATATGTACTGTTGTATGTTACCCTGTTTCCTTCTGTTTTTTATCATTCTGTATTTAGAACAGGGTCTATAGGTCTACAGGGTCTACAGAGTCTCACTATGTAGATCAGACTAGTAGTGATTCTCCTGTTTTCTGCTTCCCAAGTGCTCAGATTACAGGCACACACCACCACACCCAGTGTCTCAGAGCACCCCACAGCCAGGGATAAAACCCTGGCCACTGCACTCTGCCTAAGCAGGCACTTTAGTCCACTGAGCTATCAGGTCAGCCCTGTTTCTGATTTTTTATTCTTGCTTTTGTTTTTACTTTTCAAAATAAAATTAAATTAAATTTTAAAAATATGCAAAAAAGAGAAATATGCAGGGTTACAGCACCTAAACGGTTTTCATGTTCAGACAGAAAATGACACTGTGTGTGTGCACACAGTTCAATAATTTATACAACTGGCTGGCCAGATAGCTCAGCAGACTAAAGCACCTGCTTAGGCAGGCGCGGTAACCAGGGTTCAATCCCCAGTGTGCTGTGCTGGCCCTGCCCCCAGGGTGCACTGAGAAAAGGTCGTTGAGACTGGGCGTGGTGGTACAAGCCTGTAATCCCAGTGCTTGGGAGGCTGAAAACAAGAGGATTGCTACGAGTCTAATCTGTGTAGTGAGACCCTGTATTAAAATACAAAATAATAATTTATAAAACAACCCTGCTTTCTTACTTTGCAAATATGCACCAAAGGCCACAGAGATTGACCATATTTAAGGTTAACTCTATCCCAGTGTGGAGGACCACCTGAGCAGCTCTCCTTGAAAGAGCGACTGTCTCCATTTTGACTGAGCCTGACCCTATTTCCTATGCACAGAGCGGGCTAGGACTTCTGTTTATCAATTGGCCTTAGGTAAATGTAGGCCACCCACCTAGCTCAGCTCACAATGATCACCTACTTACCACAATTCTCAGTCAATCCTCCCTCAAGCCACTCCCCCACTGAATAAAAACTGGATGAGGCCCTGGGTTGCTCTCTTGGTTCCAGAAAGCCATCTTCGTGGCTGCACTTAGAGCCCCTTGACTCCCTGATGATTGAAAATATAATTTAGTGTCTTTATTTTTGCTGTGGGTTGCATTGAAAGTGGTAGATTGGAATCAACTTGATGGGATTCCAATAACGTAACTTTGGAATTACAAATATTGGCTTCTTGGATCGAGACGAGGATCTGGAAGTGTCTCCTACATCCCAGGACTGGAGATGTAGCTCAGTGGAAGAGTGCTTATCAGTCATAAGTGAACCCTGGGCTTGATCCCTAGCACTGGAAAAAAAAAAATCTATCCCAGATATTCATTCCAATTAGATCTTATAATAGTATCTTTTAAAAAACATATTTAGTACAGGGTTTACAGGGTCTCACTACACAGATTAGACTCATAGTGATTCTCCTGTTTTCAGCCTCCCAAATCCTGGGACTACAGGCGTGTACCACCACGCCCAATCTCAATGCCTTTTCTCAGTGAACCCCTGGGGCGGGGCCAGCACAGCATGCCCGGGATTGAATCCTGGTCCCTGCATCTGCCTAAGCAGGTGCTTATAGTGATATCTTAATTTAAAAGTTTTAACTATATTTAAAATGAAAATGGCTGCTCTGACCCCATCCAAAGGATGGGATTTTCTTTACCCCTCTCAGTCTCAACTCTATACCACAAGGTATCACATGTCAGGACACACCATTCCTCTATGCGCTAATGCCTGGCTACCTGTGACCAGCCCTAGGCTTAAGCATGGAGGGTTACTATGCCCAACCTGCTAGCATCCCACAATCTACCTGACCAATCTCCAGGTCTTTCGCACAGATCCAGAGGGATTCCAGCCCTACATTACCATCTTTCTCTCCACAGATTATAATCATCACCTGGAGACTTGACTTCAGTGGCTGGTCTCCCTACCATTCCCAGCTGCTCTCTACATGGAGGTATGTCCTAAGCACCAATTCAGCACCTCTGCTATTACCCTAGGCCTCCAGAGCACGCAGCATCAGGAAACACAGAACACTGCCCTATACTCAGTTCCCTCCCTGAGGCTTCCACCTCCTCTTGCCCATGTGCTCTGCTCTTCTCTAACCAGCTCTGAGGCCACAGTCTCCATATTGCTCATCTTTCCAGGTAGCACACCTGTTCCAAATATGGGCAATCTCTGCTGCTGTTTTTTGCTCCTTCTGCTATCCAGTGCAGCCAAGAATTGGGCCAAACACACTTGAGATGTGGGGTCATAAATGTGTGGATTCCAACACTGCTGGGTCTGCAGCACTGCTACGATGTCCTGCCCTGCTTCTGTTGAGTGCTCCCCCTACTCCAGTCTCTGTGAGAACGTTCAAATGAAAAAAACAGAACAAAACAAAACCATCATCCAATGGGAAAAAAATGCCCTCTGCTCACAATTTACTCAACTCCCTACCTCTCCTCCAGACCTACAAGCCAGAGAACCACTGGACTCACTCTGTCTCCTTTCTACCTAGGAGGGCTGTTGGCTCTGAGTCATATTCACCTCAGAGGCACAGCAGCTCAGAGTGTGGTGACCTGGTATACGGATGGTCCCTTTCCAATGACCTTCAGAACAGCCTCCTCCCCTCTCCTCTTAAACACACTCAGGTCACCAGTTCCTCCTCCTCTCTTTCACTACAGACTGGAGAAAGGAAATTCCTTTTATGCACCATCACTATCAGAAGCCTGATAGTGAAAGATTATAGAGCTAACTCATAAAAATATAAGCATTAAAAAAAACAAGCATTCTGCTTAGTGAGAAGTATTGATTCTATAGAGGAAGTCGTCTGCGAGTCACTACCAAAGTGGTTCATAGCTAGTAAATAGTGCTTCTACATCAATTAAAAACAAATATTCCAATAAAAGGTTGTGAGAGGACTCCAATAAGTAATCAGCACAAGTACAAAGAGCCAATAAATGTAAGAAGAAAAGCTAGGCCACTAATGAGGGGACAATAGGTGCTCCCAAATCAATGCCAGGAACATTATAAGCACATTGTCTCTGGGGGATAGTTTTGTCCATTTTAATGAAAACACTCCCAATTTAACAATCCTATCCTTAGGAATGAACTTTAAGGAATAAAAGTCAGAAACTGAACAATGGTACTTGTCTTATAGTAGGGACTCAGATAACTTACGGTATTGTAACTAAAATATGTATTCCACAACCTTAAAAATAAGATACAGCCATTGACCAGAGTCTCTGGTAGGGTCACAGGAATGCTAAGACCACTTTCTGGATCTTTCCTGACCACACTGTCCTGAGTGGCACCTTCTGCCATCGTCACTGGGACACCCTGTCTAAGGAACATAGCCCTCCTAGGACCAGGGATATTGTAGGAAACAAGGATCTTTCACACAAGGCAGTCAAGATTTGCTCCTCCACCATCTCTTCCTGAATATGGCAGAAAAGCTTGTCTTGGGCTGATCCTTGAGGAATTATTCCAGTTCCTTTATTCTAAAACTGGTGTAACACTTTGGAACTGGGGTTATCTTATATTTTGTCTAAATAAATATATGTGAATGCCCCAGAGACCTTCTCTACCATATCTGTAGTAAGGCTACTTATCTATATAATTAAAAAATATGGTACCTCTTTTGGAGAACTTATTGATAAACTCAATGAGCAAAAAAATTGCCAAAAAAATGCCAACTAGAAGAGGCAAAACAAGCTTCCATGAAACAATACAGAATGCAACTGAATTGGAGAAGTCCCAGCAGGCACTTGTTCAGAAGCACCACTACCTTTCTGATGTCCAGAGAATACTGTTAGGGCTTTAGAGGTTACTTACCAGGAACTGCTACACAGAGTATACAAGGAAGCAAAGAATCCCCTGGACTATCATATCTCTGTGCAGAATATGATGCACTGCAATGAACAAGAGCATATGATAAGCTGGGTGGAGAAGTAAGTGGTGCAGAGCATTCCTGCACAACAGGAAAAGAAGATGACTGCAGATATAAAGCTGCTTGCAAAGAAGAAAGAAGTCTGAAGGACAGCCCACTATATAAATGTATCTAACCCAGCTGACAAAGATCATAAACAGTCCACTGAATGGAAACTAGTCTATGTAACAAAAACATCCCATATTGCCATCTACTGAAATTACAGTTTACTTTTCCTAAAAAAAGAGAAGTTAGGGGTTTCATTTAGTGAGAACTAGATCTATTAGTGAGTCAGATGTTTCTCAACCTTACTCTGCATTTTGAATTGTTCTGTGATCACTTTTTTTTTTTTTTTTTTTTTGGTGTCAGGAATTGAACTCAGGACCTTCTGCTTGCCTGGCAGGTGCTAAGCTGCTGAGCTATATCCCTGGCTGTGATCACTTCTGAATAAACACTTGTTTTTATTAAAATGTATTACCTGACTAATGACTACCAAGTTATAGTCTATGATCTTACAATAAAGGACAACTGAAACAAATAAACAAAAAAAGATATTATTTTAGCAGGGAAAGACATCTACTCTCCAGTAAGGAACAAAAACAGACTGCCAAATGGTATACACAGACATCATTTTTGCATTTAACATCTGCATCTATAGGAGGAAAGTCAGCATTTTGGGGGGCTTGTGAACAATGAGTCAGGACACCTAGGTCAGGCTCTGCCCACAGCTTCCATCCCTTTTCTCATTTTATTTCCGTGGGCCCTGCACTGAGTGCACTTCCAACACAGGGACTGTGCCTTTTTGGAAAAATGACCTCAGGCTACTGGATCCTGTTTTGGCCTCACACTTCAAGGACCAGAAGTAGCGGCGGGATGCAGCCCCTGCCCTGGGCGCCACGGCAGACACTACCAGCACGCGCGGCTGGCCTGAAAGGAACCGCGCGCTCCCGCTCACACTCCGCCCTCTGTGGTCCGGGGGCCGCCATCAGCCCCCTCGCCTCCCTCTCACCCAGCCTCCTCCTCCTCCTCCTCGCTTGGCTTCTCTTCTTCAAACCCATCCTGACGAGGTGACCCCACCTTCTCCTGCCGCCCCTCCACACGCTGGGATCTCCGCCGGGCTCAGCTCTGACCCGCGTGTGCGCCCGGCCTCAGGGCGCCCATTCTGCCCCGCCGGCCCTCCCGCCGCAGCCCTGCCCACCTCGGGAACAAGAGCCCACAAAGCCGGCCTCCACGGGGGTCCCCACCCGGCACCGGCCCTGACCTTTGCCGAGGCAGGCTTCGCAGTACACGTGCCCGCAGCTGGTCAGGCTGAAGGACGACTTCCGGTGCGGCGCCTGGAAACAGCGGTTGCAGAACACCCAGAGGGCCATGCTGGGCGAGCCCGCGAGGCCGCTGAGACCGCTGACCGGCGCCTGCGCACTGGGACAGCCCGCCAAAACGCCGAGACGGCCGCCCGGCGCCTGCGCACTGGGACAGCCCGCCAAAACGCCGAGCCGGCCGCCCGGCGCCTGCGCGCAGCGAACTCGGCGCCTGCGCACTGGGACAGCCCGCCAAAACGCCTAGACGGCCGCCCGGCGCCTGCGCACTGGGACAGCCCGCCAAAACGCGGAGCCGGCCGCCCGGCGCCTGCGCGCAGCGAACTCGGCGCCTGCGCACTGGGACAGCCCGCCAAAACGCCTAGACGGCCGCCCGGCGCCTGCGCACTGGGACAGCCCGCCAAAACGCGGAGACGGCTGCCCGGCGCCTGCGCACTGGGACAGCCCGCCAAAACGGACGAGCCTACCGCGCAAGGTGCGCGGGGGTGGGGGGGAAGCTCTGCGCCTGCGCACATTGGCGCTCACGGCTGTCGGTGCAAAGCGATAACGCGGCGATGTGGTACTGCCGCCGTACTCACGTGCGCCGGGGAATGGCCGTCCTGTCAGGCCCAGCGGGTGCCCGGCAGACGCTCACGGTAGGCAGTGGGCCTGGGCGAGCAGGCCTCCAGCTCCTCGCACAAGGAAGTTAGGAAGTGAGTGGTGGGTGGCGTATGAGGGGCCTGCGCGAGGGCCGGGATGAAGGGGAGCCGCCGCTGCAGCCCTGCAGCCGCTGGGAAGCAGGGTCCTCCGTACGCACAGCGCGCCTGGGAGAAGCTTGCAGGGAGCGTGTACTTATTTCAGAATGGAAAGTTACAGGGCTGGGAATGAAGCACAGAGAGCCGGCCTAGCACCCACATGGCCTTGGATTGGATCCCAACGTCACACATGTGCACACACAGGCACGCGCGCGCGCACACACACGATTGTTTGCTGAACGCTATCCTCCTGGCAAGAAGCCAGACCTCTTCCATGCCACCAGACAGTCTACAAGTACTGGTGAATTAGAGCCTTTTTCTTCCAGGGAGTTAGAAAGCAGAGATTAAAGTGATGTTCCTGGTAACACACACCCAGGAGTGCCCTCAGGACGGAGTGCGTGTGCCCTTGCAGTGCTGTGGTTGTGATCTCTTGGGGCAACTGGTTTGTGATGTGTGTGGAATGTACAGCCCCCAACTCCAAGATGAAAACAACAAGTGTTAAAAGTATCTCGAGGGCTGGAGAGATGGCTCAGTGGTCTAAGGCACCTACTTAGAGCAAGCTTGGCGAAGCGCAGGGACCGCGGTTCAGTCCCCCAGCACCACATGCCAGCCAGCCCCGCCCCCTGGTGGGCTGGGCTGGCCACACACACACACACACACTCTAAATAAATAAATAAACTTTAAAAAAGTGTTTTTTTTAAAAAAAAGTATCTCTAAAGGAGCCTCATAATGAATACATTTTTAAAAGACAGTAATTTGATATATTGAGTTAAATATATGCCACTAGGGTTAATTTTACCAATCTTCAAAATCTTTTTTAATGTGGTGATGAGAGAACTTAAAATTTCATGTGTAGCTCCCATTTTATTTCTATTGCACTGCACTACTTTGTATCAGGGATTTTTTGTTTTTTTTTTCTTTTTTTTTTTTTTGGTACCAGGGATTGAACTCAGGACCCTGTGCTTGCCAGGCAGGCACTTATTCTACTGAGCTATATCTCTAGCCCTGCTGCTTTGTATCAGTTTGGGGTTTTTTTTAATTTTTTTTTTTTTTTACATTTTATTTAGTGTGTGTGTGTGTGTGTGTGGCCAGCTCAGCCCACCAGGGGGCCAGGCTGGCTGGCATGTGGTGCTGGGGGATTGAACCGTGGTCCCTGTGGTTTGCTAAGCTTGTTCCAAGTAGGTGCTTTAGACCACTGAGCCATCCCGTCAGCCCCTTTCTATCAGTTTTGAAACATAAATATGCTTAATTTATGAAATTCAGAAATTACTTTTTTTTTTTTTTGAGGCAGGGTGGCCTTAAACTTACTGTGTAGCCCAGGTTAGCTTGAATATATAGCAATCTTCCTGCCTCTGCCTCTTGAGTGCTGAGATTGCAGATGCCCACCATATCTGGTCCTTAAACTACCTTGTTCATAAAGCATTTTATCAGTGTTGCAACTCTATAACATTAATTTCAATCTCTGATAGTTTTTGAAATCATAAAAGTGATACACATTTGTGCGTGCGTTTTGGTTTATTAAAACATGAAAATTATTTGTCTTTCATGATAGTATTTTAAACAACTTTTTTAGCTATAAAGAAGTCTTTAAGGTATTTCATTTGGAAAATTCCAACTGAAATAAGGATTAATGTTTGTGCTATAGCCCACCATAAGACATTGCTATTTGTATCTTCACTGGTCATTCGAAAATTTTCTTCTCGGACCTGTGTAGAAGAGAAATAGATAGGTTTAGTTGTTTGAAGTACTAAATATGCATTTGTGTGTGTGTGTGTGTGTGTGTGTGTGTGTGTTTTACTAGAGATAAACCCAGAGCTTTGAGATTTAGGCAAGTAGTTTACCACTAAGCTGCATCTTCCACCCTTTTAGAATTTTTGTCTTGAGATAGGGCCTTGCTAAATTGCCCATACTGATCTCAAACTTGCCATTCTCCTGCCCTCTGGATTGCTGAGATTACAGACATGCGCCATCAAGTCTAGTTTAATGTGTGATTCTGAGAGTAAAGTTGCTGTGTAAGTTCAAGGTATTTAATATTAACCACATAGTGTCTTTTCCCCCCACTTAGTGTCTTTTCACAAAGTACAGTCTCAGTCAAAATCAGTGGTTTAGTAAAATATGAAAGAGTAAAAAGCAATTTGATAAAACATCTATGTTTTGGTGTGAAATATCTGTAATTTGATCTGTTACTTTATACATTTTATTTGCAACTATCAGGCAAACAGCATTACCCAGCAGTGATAGATTTTCATCATTGGACTCCTTTAGGCTGGGTACTATGTCGAGAACTTCCTTGCCTTTTCTAGTTATTGTACTTGTGCTTACCTTGTTTTCCAGACAAAGAAACTGAGGCTTAAAGATGACATAAAATTAGTGAGTAGTAGAGTAGGTTTGAGCCCATGTCTGACCAGTGTCCACTGAACACAGTGAGTCAGAAAACACTTGAGGGCCAGAGATATATAGTTCAGTGGTAGAGCACATGCCTAACATATCCAAGGCCCAGAGTTTGATCCCCAATACTGTAAAACAACAGCAAAAACAAAAACCACTTGATGTCACAAGAATGAAATTAGGATCTAGAAAGTGGGCATACTTGTAGCTCTCCAAATACAGGGAGGGCATATAGAGGCATTTGTTCATTCAGTAAGCACACATCCTTTGCTGCTGGCTGCCTTGCTCAGTATAGGGGAGAAAGCGGTGAATGAGCTGCAGTTCTCTCTCCTAAAGGAGCCCTTCTTTGTTCAGCAGACAGTAGAGAGAGATTGCTCCCTTCCTTCTCTCTCCATGTGTGCTCAGTTCTAGCCTGAAAATACCCAGGAACAGGCAGTTTATTCCTTGCCCTCAAGGCCTTGTATTTAGTAATGTGTTCCTGGCAGGAAGAGATAAAATAAGCTGAATAGGCAGACTGACCCTTTGATAGTTTTGTTCTTTAAGTATTTGCTCAATTTGTTCAATTAGATGTTCAAGCTTGAAGGTAACTTCATTAACTTTGTCCTTTGCCTGAGCAATTGCTGCATCAAGGTCATGTTCTCCAATTCGCATATCTAAGTGGATACGCTGCATAAACAGTAGAAAGGAAGAAATGGCTTATTTTAAGAGCAGTTCCACACTTTTGCCTTGCTTCACCACTCTTTACATCCTTCCGTTCCTCCCTGTCCTTTCCCCACATCCCCTTTTCATGAATGGGCCACCACTTCATCCTTGAGTTCCCTTTTTTCACCTGCATGTACTGCTCTATTATCTCTTCTACTCTGTAGTCTTTCTTATAATAATGCAGTGAGTAGTAACCTATTGACCTGAAAAAAAAATATATATATATACATATATATATATATATATATATATATATCTTTCTAACATCAAATTTACTCCTAGACAAATGCCTTTGTTACTGAGAAAATTTGGTTAATACTCTCAGGGAACTTTTCTTATATATAACTGAATTTCTTGTGCTAAAGTACAAATTCTCTTCATCTTTTCTCTGAACACTTAGAAAACAGCCACTCACTATCTATTGTGTAAGTGTTTTATTAGAATTGCATTATTAATTCACTCTTCAGCCTTCACTTATTTTCAAGCCTGAATAATCACAGTTCTTTTAACCTTTCCTCACAGCTCTTATGTTTCAAGCCCTTTAATCAACCTCGTGGCTCTCCTTTGAATGCCTTCCAAGCTCCCCAGCTCATTTTTTGGTTGCTGCTCTGAGAACTGGGTGCAGGATGTCAGTAAATTTCTAGGCAGTTTGTGTGTAGTGGTTCTGCATACCAATGTCATGCTTGAATAGTGTGATGCTGTGTTCATCAGCAAGGACATGGGAGGTGTATACTCACCAGTAGACTCCCTCCAAATGATATAAGCCTTGTAGAATTAGATTCTAAGCAAATTATGTGTTCTCCAGGCAAATGTGAAGTAAAATAGAATGTTCCTTTTGGGCCAAATAACTTTGATAATAATACCTAGGATTGAAGATTTCCATAGTTTAAGTTTATTATTCTTTGTATTCTTAAATATCTTCCCTATATAAATTTATTAAACTTACGCAGTTCCCAAAGAAGAAATTAAATGGCTAATGAATATGAAAGATATTCAGCATTTAAGCAATAAAAAAATTCAAACTAGAGTAAGACATCCCTTGCTTACTACCTGATTGGTAAAAATTTAAAAGTACTCACTTGAGAATATCAGGGTATAGTGGCACATGCCTGTAATCCTAGCCACCAGGAGGGCTGAAGTAGAAGTGCAAGTTTGAGATCCTGTTTCAAAAAAATTTAAAAAGGAGTTGGGGTATAGCCCAGTGGTAGAGCTCAGTGGTACTCTACTAAACTGCCATGTA